GACGAAATGTCTTTTTCAATGCCCCCCCCCCCTGTATACGGCTTCTTTCGGCGCCTATGCAGGTTAGCTAACGTTCCCTATGAGGCCTAGCCCAAGCCTTCATTCACGATTGTTCTCCTGCTTCCGTTCAAGTGCCTTTTCAAAATTCTTTTATGTATTCGGCTTTGTTGATGTGGAAAAGTTTTTTTTGGAATTCACTAAGTACTAAGTTAGAGGGAAGAATGTCTAATGCAACTACCGTCGATTTTCATCGCATTGGTTAATGGTTAGTGGCTTGAGTAAGAAGAAGGAAAAACACTAACTAGCCAAAGTGGTTGGAATAGCAAAAGTGCAATCCGGAAGACAGCGGTAGTTTTGAAGATGTTAGAACTCCACGCTGCGCTATGTCTCTCCTTCGTACCACTGTCGACCTTACAAGAAAGGAAGCTGCTCAGCGATATAAGTATTTTCGATACTTGGGTTTGTTTCTTTTCCTCACTCTTTTGGTTCTCTTATTCATTTTTGATAGAAATGAGATTTGTTCGTTAACCGTGTCTTTAAGTCAACGATCATGGTGACAGAGCACCTTTTCCTGGGAATTTGCTTTCCCGAACACTTGCGGTTATATGTGTGGAAGTGGAGTATGACCACCAACAGGACCCCGTCTAAAATATTGAGCTACTGTGCTACGTTCACAGTAGCAAGTGCACTGAACTCGAAACAGAAAATAATCTTTTTTCCAGTCTGTTTTCGGAAAAATGACGCAATTTTGTAGTATCTTTTCAAAAGTATTTTTAGCAAGCATTTTTGAAAAGTAATCAAGTAAATATAACATCAACTGTTTATTTACAACCTGTCAGTGGAGCTATACATGATCAACGGGATGACGATGTCGCCTGCGCTAGTATCACAATCAGCATACAAGTGCGGTGGGTGAAAATTCATTTGTCACAACTTATGGAAATCGATAATCGAATTGTCTCAGTAACGGGAGGCCATACGATTCTTGGAAGTGTAATAAGGCATATAATAAACGGAGCTGAACAGACAGACAGACATAGAGACAAATAATAACCACAAATAAGCATTAGAATGGCTATTTAGGGTGATTGGCATAGCGCCAAGTCGCGAATTTAATCAACAATGAGTCTAGGGGCGTTCTGGAACTCTTGGAAATGTGGCTCCGGTACATCAAACAGCGGCCGGCTGCTCCTGAAATCGCAATTTTGAATTCCTGCCGTAGTTGAAAAAAGTGTTGCGCCAGTCTATCGATATTCTACTGGGATTGCTAATGGGTTCTGGGCGCTCATGTCCTTAGGGGGAGACATTCAAAAGGGCCGATGGTAGGTGACACTAGGACTAAGCCCAGGAAAGGGAGAAACGCCAGGGAGAACACAAATTGCTCACATCCTCCCCAGAATCCCTTTCCCTCTCTGGCTTAGTCCTGAGTACTGTAAGTACTCTAATGGCTCACTCACTTGAATGTCCCCACTAGCTCCACGCCAACAAATGAAACGGCGAAGGCGCTAGATGATGACCGATTATTCTGGGATGCGCCATGTATCCGAAGTTATTTTGGATTACATTTCATCGGAGCTGTCTGACAGATTCTTTTTCAATTTCCTCGTTTTAGCTTGAGAAGAATATTTTGGCAAGCGGTAACTAGTGATGGATAAATTCAATTTATCCTTTCAGGTGTGAAGACCTACCGTCTTAGGATCCTCCTTACGCACCTCGCTGTCTACAATGGCAGTCTTTGGTGGACCACGGATCTTCTGTGCTTCTTGTTCGAAATATCTGAAGCTGTATTAATTTTTCACACTTGTCAGATTGGCTGAGTCAGACAAATTATCGATGATCCAAAGGAATCTCATTTTTTAGGTAATTCAGCATCTTCTAAAGTTACCTTAGAAACGCGGCCAGGGGATCATGCTCCATGTCCTCATCGCTCTCGACATCAGCTACAGGTGTTGTGGACTGGAATTAACCTTTGAGAAGAACTATTCGGGGGCAGGTAATCTTACTACCTTACCTCCACAGGTACGGTAGTTCTGGCGCCGATACGTGGAAATCTGTCCTCAATGACAACTGGTCCGACGGGTCCTTCCGAGTCTTCTTCAGGGATCTAGAATTTTGCGACAATGATAGTTATTCTCACGATACGCTATCTATGGCTCTTTATCAACCTAACTTCCTAGTGATACTAACATATATAATGATCAGTACTGATTTCTAGACAAAAATCACGACCAAAGGGTTTACCTGTGCCTCCTCGGGTTTCTGCTCCTCGACCGTCTTAAAAACGTTTTCAGGCTCAGGTTTCTGTTCCTCGACTGCCTTGAATACATTCTCAGGTTCGGGTTTCTGTTCTTCAACCGTCTTGAAAATACTGTCGGCTGGCAAGTCGATCTGAAAACAGGTTTGGATAATTCAAAAGTATGCTTTTAAAAATTTGGTCATAAAATGACGTATTTCGATGAGATATAATTGAATCAGCCGTTCAAGGTTGCCCTTGGATATTTTGTCCTCCCGCTGTGGGATTACAGTATCGGCCAAACCGGTTTATTGACTTATTGATTTCTTCCCAAATCATACTTCATGGAGTCGAAGCGATGGTGCAACTACAGTACATCTGTGATCAGAACCAGTTATTCAAAAAAATATCGAACCTGTGCAGCGCTGTCAACCACCTCCTTTGTTGGTTCTTTCTCAATCTTCGGCATCTGTAAGGAATTGCATTTAATGAGCGGTCACCAATGTAACAGGAATTAAAAGTAAGTAAATACCTCGGTGGACGCAGATTTGTCCTCGAATGCCTTGAAGACGCTCTCGGTGGTAGTTGGCTGAAATGGTAACTCCTTTCATGGAAGCTACTATTAATACAATATCATACGTAAACATAGGGGCGGAAGGGGTGTAGTGGCAAATGGCACGCTTACTACGCAAGCGGTCCGTGGATCAAATCCTGGGTCGTGGGTCACTCAAGCCAACCAAGCCTTGAGAGCAGGATCAGATGGGATCTCATCATCAGCTGTCCTCAAAACTGGCTGGACTCTACGCGCTACCTGTCGGAATGCAAGGCATCCACCCCACGGAAAGACGTCAACACTACGCAGGTGTGCAAGAAAGGAAATCGTCCGCTCTGCATGATGGTCGTCTGATCTAGAAACTTTTCACTCGCGAATATCCACAAAAGGAATTGAGGTTCTGGCTGAAGGATAGCCCTGTGATCTAACAGGGTTTTGAGGAGCGCTCACCACCATATGCACGCGATCCAAGATGCCACTTTGTCCCACTTTCATTAGCCTGAAGAGGCCTTCCAACTCTTTGGAGACAAAAGCCTTTATTAAAGTCCTGTGTAGCCATGTTGCTAATACTCAAAATACAGCAATTCTTCCGCTTTCCACTCCTTTCACTCTACAGCAACTCTACGACCAGTATGCAGCGTAGGGCGTAATGGTGTATGGACAAGTGGCAATGACTACTACCAGCGGTCCGTTGGATCGAATCCCGGGCCAACCAAGCCTTCCATCCCTCCGGGGTCGGTTAATTGGTACCAGACTTGTCTGGGAGGATAAAAACACTGACTTGTACATCGGCTGGCCCCCGCAAGTCATTGTATAGGCCACATCGCATTCAAACGCCACTACGAATGTACAAATGGAAGTAGAATGCGTGCCGCATCCCAAAAAGGGATTGATCAACGGCAAATGCTTTTTTCCTTTTATTCGTATACATAGAAAAGACGATGAGAAGGTGCGATTTCTGGGCTTCTTCTGAAGCCATGGAAAGCCCCATTCCGTCCGTAAAATCTCTCCGGAAACCTTCGAAAGGCTGCCTACTTACCACGGTCTCCACTTTCTTCTCGGCCTCGTCGAATACGGACAGAATATCGCGGAACATGTTTTCGCCTTCAACCTGGAATTAATCGTTGCTCAGAAAGTCAGCGTAATGAGGAAGGTAGTAGGGTAAGTCATCAAAACTATCAATTCTGTCTTACCTGTTTGATCTCAGCCACCTTGACGGTCGTCATCGGTGAAGCAGTGGTCGTCGACATTTCGTTGATTTTCTTCAGATTCTCCTGGAAGATTGCGTCGTGGTCGTAGTTTCCGGGAGTTTCGGTGTCGGGTGTGATAGCGGTCCCTAAATTTGTGGAGATTTCAATTTACCATTCTGACAACAACTCCGAAATCATGAACCTGTACAGAATCCAAAGCAAGCAACTCACAAATAGGTCTTGAAGGGACATTGAACTCCATGAACTGGGACCTTCTCTGCAAATATAGAGCAGTTAGTTGAATGTTCTTATATTTAGTTCCCTAAAAAGATCATATCCAAAGCTCAATCGTTGGTAAAGGTTTAGAATCCAAAAATTGGAACTAGGAGAGTGCTCGTCTAGCGTTCTCATAGTCTTTTTCGCCAAACTTTTTTGACTGGTCTTTCCCCGCTAGGTGGCCTTTTTCGGTTGGTCTTTCCTGATCAGGTGGACGTAGGGCTCATCGGGTGTCCTATTTGCGAAGGAAGTAGGTACAAGCAGCAGTGGCTTGCCGAGTCCACCTAACTCCTTTGATCGTATCTATATGATTATATTCTAAGCCATTTTGCTCTGACGGCAAGGTCGTGATCGAGTCCGCGTGTGTTACTTGTATCGAACAAGCAAAAAGTTTGAAGGGAACGTCAGTGGTAAGAAAAAGCAAGAGAAGCTTCATACAAAGCGCTGAAATTTCCCCTTTGAAGTCGAGCCTGGCACGGCGGGGAAAGAGAGCGCTGCAAGAGGAGGTAAGACGCTAGAGAGCACGTCGTAGCAAGAGAGCGCAGACGCCACGTATGGTGCCTACTGACTAGAATCGCAGCAGTCGCCCTGAGGTACCGAGGCGGCAAAAGCCTAATAGCTCTATTTGGATAATTCAAAAGTATGCTTTCAAAAATTGGTCATAAAATGACGTAGTCGATCGATGAGATATAATTGAATCAGCCGTCAAGGTTGCCCTTGGTATTTTGTCCTCCCGCTGTGGGTTACAGTATCGGCCAAACCGGTTATTGACTTATTGATTTCTTCCCAAATCATACTTCATGAGTCGAAGCGATGGTGCAACTACAGTACATCTGTGATCAGAACCAGTTATTCTTGAAAAAAATATCGAAACCTGTGCAGCGCTGTCAACCACCTCCTTTGTTGGTTCTTTCTCAATCTTCGGCATCTGTAAGGAATTGCATTTAATGAGCGGTCACCAATGTACAGGAATTAAAAGTAAGTAAATACCTCGGTAGACGCCGATTTGTCCTCGAATGCCCTTGAAGACGCTCTCGGTGGTAGTTGGCTGAAATGGTAACTCTTTCATGAAACTATTTATAATATTATATAAAATTAGGGCGGAAGTGGTGTAGTGGCAAGTGGCACGCTTACCACGCGAGCGGTCCGGGGATCAAATCCTGGGTCGTGAGTCGCCCGGGCCAACCAAGCCTTCCATCCCTCCGGGGTCGGTTAATTGGTACCAGACTTGTCTGGGAGGATAAAAACACTGACTTGTACATCGGCTGGCCCCCGCAAGTCATTGTATAGGCCACATCGCATTCAAACGCCACTACGAATGTACAAATGGAAGTAGAATGCGTGCCGCATCCCAAAAAGGGATTGATCAACGGCAAAATGCTTTATCCTTTTATCCTTTAACATAGAAAAGACATGAAAGGTGATTTGGCTGTTCTGAAACAGTGGAACGTCCGCAACCGTCCGTAAATCTAACCATCGAAAGGCTGCCTACTTACCACGGTCTCCACTTTCTTCTCGGCCTCGTCGAATACGGACAGAATATCGCGGAACATGTTTTCGCCTTCAACCTGGAATTAATCGTTGCTCAGAAAGTCAGCGTAATGAGCAAAGTTAGTCATCCAAGTTCACAAACAGTTAATGTCTACCTGTTTGATCTCAGCCACCTTGACGGTCGTCATCGGTGAAGCAGTGGTCGTCGACATTTCGTTGATTTTCTTCAGATTCTCCTGGAAGATTGCGTCGTGGTCGTAGTTTCCGGGGGTTTCCGGTGTAGGTGTGATAGCGGTCCCTAAAATTGTGGAAATTTTGTTTTTCAAAAACTCCTGAACTTGTACAAAATTTAAGGCAAAACTCACAAATAGGCCTTGAAGGGACGTTGAACTCCATGAACTGGGACCTTCTCTGAAAATATGGGGCATTGGTTCGAATGCTCTTATACTTATCTCCCTAAGAGTTCATATGAGACTCAAAATCGTATACAAGGTTCCAGGAAGATCCGACAAATCGGAACTAGGGAAAGTGCTCGTCTGGCTACTATAAATTATTTCCGGCTGATTTTTCCTCAGCAGGTGAATCGGTATGGGTTATGACTTGCTTATTTGTAAAGGCAAAGGGTAGCAGAATTGCAGACGCATGTCAGTGGAAGAAAAAGCAAAAAGCGACACATAAAACACTGAAATTTTTCTTTGTGAGGTCGAGCCTGGTACGGCGGAGAAACAGAGCGTTGCGAGAAGAGGGAAGACGCAAGAGAGCACGTCGTACGCGAGAGAGCGCAGACGCCACGTATGCTGCTACTGACTAGAATCGCAGCAGTCGCAGCGATCGAGGCGGCAAAGGCTATAGCTCTATTGTAGCGCACCTTCAGGTCACAACAGCACTACCATCCCTGTGAGAATAGAGGGCCTCGCTATCTCGGTTAAGGAGGAAACTTCTCTTCAAGGATCTTTATTGCGACCCGTGCCTTTGAGCTTTTCAACGTCCCACCTGCATCTCCTGATAGATTTTGTCGTGCATGCCCATCTCCGGTGCAGGTGGTACGGTCGGTTGTTGCATGGAGAGAATTTGAGCCGGTGACGCGTCATGTGGTCTGGTCAGCACCTTAAAAAAGACAGTGTCCCCAGTGAAACATTGTGAATGCCCTTCAATTGCCGTGGCAGAACCCTTTTTTGGAATATTACAGTCATTCAAGTGGATTACGGTAATGGAAGCATCTATTCATGAACGTTTTTCTTACTTTCACGATTGAATGCATACTGCGGTTCCGTAGTGTTCACTTTTTAGCGTAAAATCGATTTCCTTCGTGCAGGCTAGCTCTGTTTTTGTACTCCGCTATACTGTACTCTACCGTAGCCTCAGACAACGTTAAGTAAAACTCACTTGTTGTTGTTGTTGTTGTGGTTGCTGTTGTTGTTGTTGCTGTTGTTGTTGTTGGTTTGACCACTGTGGCTGCTGAAATTATCCGGAATTGCTCCACTTCCGATGGATTTATTGATTTATACGGTATTTTTCTACTATTCTGCCTTATAAATAGAATACCCTTGCCACTAATTATTATTTTTTCTAGTTTCCTCGTCAGCTATTACATAAGGTCATATCCCTATAGTAGCCATTTATGAGGGCTGCAGGTCACGGCAATGTGCTGCGTAGCGCTTGAGCATGAGATTAACGTTTCGAAGAGGTACCCGCGTTGCAACCGCCCGCGGCAGTAATCTATGAATTCACCCAAGAAGTGGGATTTTCACAAATTTCCACCCTATTTTGGATTTTTTGGTTGAATCCTACCTGATTCTGATACATCTGTTGCTGTTGCAGATAGTACTGTTGCTGTTGTTGCTGTTGTGGCTGCTGCTGTGGGTAGAAGTAGAACTGCTGAGGGTAGCGAGGATGTTGGAAGTTCTGCTGAAATCAATAGTTCTGCCATGCAAACCTTTGGTTCTACCCGTTCTCTCTTTTGACTCAATTTCCCGCTCTCTATTTCACCCTGTATCTTTGAGCGCTACCCGCTATCCCTCTCTCTCTGCTTTATTGACCTACTCTCATGCTTTTCTACTCGAAGCATCGGCCAACGGGCCACTGGACATTTATGGACATCAGATACGCCGCTTTCCTAGAAGCCTGACTACCCTGGAGTGAAGGCAATGTACTCCCTTCAAAAGAGAGAAGAGCGTCGGGTGCAGACCATACACCACAAGTGACGACGGCCTCACAAAATGTAAATGTTTTCTGCCAATGAAATGATTAGCCTGTTGCAGTTGTATTCTATCAGTTGTCACTAATTACACTATCATTTACCAAAAATCAGCTATCACTATGAACACTAGATTTACTTGGAGGCCGTCGTCACTTGTGGTGTATGGTCTGCACCCGACGCTTCTTCTCGTTTTTTGAAAGGGAGGGTATATTTTTAGAGATGCTGCTGTTCGCTGCTGACACTCGGCTCCTGTTCTCTACAGCTCCACACATAAAACTCTGAGTAAAAACTGGTGAATCCTTCATTTCCTATGGCTCATAAGGCTCTGTTGATGTACAGTCTATATGTGGGTCCCTAAACCTCGGTAGAACACCCATGACACACATTGACCCTGGTAGAGTGAGAGGGTCGGTTACATGGCGTAGGTCGAGCGTGATCCCATGAGCTAAATACGTAGTCGAGCGCTCTTGACCACTACGCTAATTCCCCCGTAGAAATGGAAAATTCTTTTACCTGCTGCTGTTGCTGGTGACGTGCCCACCAAGCCTGCTGCTGCTGTTGTTGCATTTGCTGCTGTTGTTGCTGCTGCATCTGCTGTTGTTGGAGCATCTGAATGCGTTCCCAGTTGGCTCGTTGTGCCTGCTCCCATTGAGCTCGCTGCACTTCGGCCTGGTACTCCTCCATAGCACGGGCTCGTTGCACTTGTTCCCAGCGAGCCTGAGCGATTGCACGAGCCAGTTGTTCTTCCTGGGCTGCTCGTTGCTGTTGCTCTGCCTACAATAACGGATTTTGGCCAATAAGTTCTGGTTATTCGTGGAGCGAGTACCCTGTAAAGCTACCGTACCTGTGCCCATTCGGCTCTCGCCATTCGCCTCTCTCATCATTTGCTGTTCATAGATAGCTTGTTGCAGACGACGCCATCTCCACTGACGAATAGCCTATAAGAAGACGAGTGGTACTGATGAACGACGGATAACTCGTCCACAAAAATCCTGCTAAGAAACTCGTCCAAACCTGAGCTCGCTCCATCTGTCTGGCCTGGAGAACCCACATCGGCGGAGGCATCGCTGGACGATTGTTGTACGCGTCATAAGGAATCTAGAATTTATCTATCCTCGTAAAATAAAACTATATAGTATTGTTAGTAAAGTAAATGAGGAATTTTCTTGATATTTCATCTAGGGAAAAAATATTAATAGCTCGTAAGACCATCATTATCTCGTTCAGTATCTAAAAATCACTCGAAGAATTATCACCCTATAAATTACTTGTTGACTAACATTCAACCCAGCTAAGAGCATATGATTATTCCAAGGACCGTGACCACTGTCATACTACAAAAAACCGCAAAGGTAAAATCCCGTATCTTCAGTCAATAGCCTTTGGTCATCTCTCGGAATGTCTTCTAGTCACAACGCGACGCGTCCGCAACGCTTTTCAATAGGCCATGCCTACCCTGGTTACCCAACCAAACCAAGAGCTTGCCTACTGGTTGTATTCCCCGGTCAAAGACAACACAACAAGTAAGGAAGAGTTCAAATGGAAGGCGTCGCGGTCGCGTAGCGATCGCCACGCGACCGCGACGCACCCTTGCCCACGCCCCTCTCAGGAAGGTGGAAATGCAGCAGCTAAAAAAACTGTTTTTCTTCGCTAAAAAAAGTTACTGGGTATTGTAAATATCCCCTGATTACTGATCCCATGATATTCTATCCCTCATCAGCAACCCCGCTCAAACTCAACGGCCTCATTTCGTCAAAATGGTTGTTCTGGTCAACCCGATGTTCATATCTAAGATTTTTGTTGGGTTTACCGTACCTCTTGCTGTTCATACGGATGCATGGGTCGCTCGTTCATCGCTTTTTGCTGGCCGTTCACATCGGGGGTATTTCCACCTTCGATCACCATTACTTTAGCCAGTGGGATGGAGTTGAAGAAGACTTTCATCTAAAATGCGGCAATTGGAAATTCCACTTTTTTGAAGGAATTGTATCAGCCAGTTTGGCTAGATATAGCCACCGAAAAATGGCTTGCAAGTTTATATCCAAATCAGGTGGCACCTTTCGCCCCACGGAACATTAAAAAGTCAATCGGTGCTCGAGTGGGCTCAAACGAAGGCTAAGGTAACCCGGAACAAAACACTTGCATAAGTTTTGTAACTATGCTAAATATGTAGAACTTGCTTAATCCTATACTTTGCTATGAAAGTTCAAAAAAACGAACAGAAAAATTCTGAATCTGTGGCTTATTCTTACTTACTTCTTATGGTTGGTTTTGAAGGTTTCACTACTTACCTCGTCATCTGCTGCCGGCTTTCCGTCCTTGAGGTCATTACCCATTGGATTAACCAGGCCGAATTGTTCTGCTGTTGGTGCCATGGTAGTAGCAACGGCGCTCTGATCGCCCTTAATAGCCTGAACATCAGTTTTCTGAGCTCTAACTCTTCAATCTACACTTACTATTCATGCCTTTATTATGCCAACATTTACAAAGCTATGCTAATTTCAACCCCAAATTTCATTATGCTAATTTCGCCCTCAAATTTGTTATTTATATGTTCCTCCCTTTGCCGATTGTACGAAATCCCTGTTAAATTTGCCCGTCTTCCCCGTCACACCCCTCGTTTCCCATCTGTGATGATGCACTCGTTTCAGAGCGTTGAACAGTGCCGCTACCAAAGACAGTCGGTATTGTTCGAACAGGTTCCACCTATCCAACCGCGCTCGCTCCCACCCCAACATACTGCTCTCTGCCTTCATACGTCACTATTACAAACAGTCTAAGTGTTTTCTTTCGGCCGACGCGGTTTACTGTAGCCATCCACACGGTCGTGCACATCATCTGCACAAATCGACGCTAAATGGCAGTCTGTGGAATCCATTGGTGCACCCGTCCTGGGTAGTTCCTCCGAAGAAAGCACCCAAACTTTACAGGAACGCGGTGCAGTTCGTTGGAAAGAATTTCCGGTAAGGTGGACGACTTTTCCGAAATTTCGGACAAAATCTTTCTAAAGATCAAATTCGTATTGTGGGCATGGAAAGGTTAACGGGATTTTTCAACTCACGACGCATTAGAAACTGATCCGTTTCGGAAAACAGTCGTGGATGGGGGAGGGGTTACAGTGCTGTGGGCGGAGTTTCCCACCCCGTCCAGACGTTCCCCCATATGAACCTCATTAATGCAATAAGATGACTTCTCAGATTTTTTTAAAATTTTTCCGAGTGGACTTCTTTTTTTCAAACTTCGATGATTCTCATAACAAATACGGAGGATGACTTTTTCATCTTCAATTTATTTACTCACCCCGTAAATTCCATTGAAGATCGTGTCGGCTCCATAGATGAGCACCATGCCAGCTGTGAAACATGAGATGAATAGGAGGAAAAGCAGAACACCGCGCAAAATGGCACTGCCGATAGAGCGGCGTGGTTTTGCTGCCGGTTGTGTCTGAATCGGAATCACCGTCGGCTGTAGTACGGTGAACACCTGAAAAGTGGACGAGTTGTCATTCCCATGACTGCGTTGCAGCCCGCTTATTTTTGTAGTACTGTGAAAATATACGATGTAGAGAAAGCGCCAAAGGGGAATGTCCGCTAAAAGAGCACCGGAAATCGGAAATCGACAATGTTCTCCGCTTCCAATGCTCTTTAGCATGAACAGTTAGTTTTGCCTTCACTGCGAAGAAACTAGATGCGTTCGAAATTCCTATCCAGAAGAAATTATCTCAGCGCCATTCTAACTAAGTTTTCTGTGGATATAGAGCTGTGGATATAGAGCTCTTTTAGGCAGGTGTCAGACTTTGCTAATCTTGCGATTTGCTAGTAGCGAGCTCGATTCGCAAAGTCTGGCACCGTCTCTATTGTCAGCTTTTCCTGGCGCTGCTTAGCGCCCTGGCGGTGTGTCTGAGGTTCTACAAAAGGCTCCACTCACCTTGGGATCAACTTTCACCGTATCGGTGACGGTATCAGCACTCTTTTCGTCGGTGCCATCGCCATGAACGCCTGGCGTAATGCCTAATTTTGTCATCTGAAATGAGCACGGTAAAAATTCTGTGGCCGGAAAATTACAGTATGCCGGATTAAATCACGCAGCAATGAGCAACACGACTGATTAGAACACGATGACGATTGTGGCTGTGAAGAGAGGCGGTTTTATGCCCGACGAGGACGGTCGATCGGGTGGTTGATCATTAGCGAGCGAGCAGAAAAGGCCGTGGAGAAGGAAGGGTTCAGGCGCGCTACGTCCGAAAAACAAACTTGACGAAGAGATACGTAAATTCGCCAAACAGGTATGAATCGGTTGGTGATGCATGAATGACATGTGACAGGGCCGGCCAGCAGACATTATGCCCGGTAAGCAGAAAACGTTCTTGGAGGATCTTCCAGACGAAAATTGGATGTTCAAGAGTACAGAAGTCGCACTACTATTGTACTTTTAGTATGTCTAACTATAAGTACGATATGGGCAAGTTGAACAGAATATTAGAAGAATGCTATGCTGAGTTGTGGGACAAAACTTTCGCCCCAGCTGGGATTCGTACCCGGATCTCTTGCTTTCCGGGCAATTGTGCTACCAGTTTGCACCACCGGGGCACCATTTCACCCCAATATAACTTATTTGAACAGAATATTCTTAAAAAATTGAGTCACAGATCGAATTTAGGGAGTCGGCTGAGCGTAGGACAGAGCTGCC